TCATCACTCCACTGCCAAGGCCTTGCTCAACGGGTGCAGCTTCCCTGCCGACTGCTTTGATGCCTGCCAGAACATCCAAGATGAAAGAGACCACGAAAGGGTCGTACAATGGTGCTTGTTCAGTTTTCGTGGGTGAAAATTTCCTCAAAAATCACAAACGGGTTTTTCTTCACCAATTATGGCAAGATCTTCGTGCGAGGATAGTACGGACTTCAATTGATTCAATTTCGTCTATTCAAGAAGATGTCCAATTAGTTCTTGGAACCATGAGGGATCTTGGTGATTTTGACATATCTTGCATAGAGAAATTATTGAAGTCATTATTTTCCCAGGCGACGGCTTATGATAAGGTGAGGTCGTCGAACTCTGAGAAGGCATCTAAAGAGATTCTAGCACGACAATTAGATGAGGCTAAAGATCGTTTGTATAATACTCAAGCTAGAGAACGCAAAGAGACTCTTCAATTTCAAGCCACCAATAATGATTTGGAGAGTGTCAAGAAAGAGCGTGCTGCTTTGAAGGTGAGGGTGGGGCAGTTGAGATCATCATTAAAACGACAACGAGAACTCCTTGATACTGTTAAAATAGAAATTCGTGAGATTAACGAAGAGATTGCTGCCATTGAAAATACATCCCCTTTAAGTGATGATTTGGTAGAAGAATTGCGCGCTTCTGCCGAGCTTTTAGAAGATGCCAAAGAAAAGTTGAACGATTTAGACCCTTTCGCTTGAGCTAGATTTAGATTTTTTTTTTTTTTTTTTGTTTATTTCACTATTATGATTCATGAAATAAAAAAAAATCTCATTTTCCATCGTGCTCCCCTAGTATTCTGTACTTATATTTTCAACAATATTTTTTTTTTTTTTTTTTTTTTTTTTTTTTAAGAAAGGACTGAACTTAGAGAATATCTAAGCTGCCTACGTACCTCGAATGGGATCAAGTCATAACGTAGTTCAAAGAAAAAAAGATAGATTTTTTTTTTTTTTTTTTTTTTTATTTAGGAAAGGACTGAACTTAAAGAATATTTAAGCTTCCTACGTACCCCGAATGGGATCAAGTCATAACGTAATTCAAAAAAAAAAAAAAAAAATTTTTTTTTTTTTTTTTTTTTTTTTTTTTTAAGGAAAGGACTGAACTTAAAAAATATTTAAGCTGCCTCCGTCCCCCGAAGGGGATCAAGTCAAAACGTATTTCAAAAAAAAAAAAAATTTTTTTTTTTTTTTTTTTAGGAAAGGACTGAACTTAAAAAATTTTTAAGCGGCCTACGTACCCCGAAGGGGATCAAGTCTTAACGGATTTCAAAGAAAAAAAGATAGATTTTTTTTTTTTTTTTTTTTTTAGGAAAGGACTGAACTTAGAGAATATCTAAGCTGCCTACGTACCCCGAATGGGATCAAGTCATAACGTAGTTCAAAGAAAAAAAGATAGAATTTTTTTTTTTTTTTTTTTTTTTTTTAGCCGTGCACAGTTTCAACTCATGCGGGCCAGGAGCCTTCTCCTCCGCTTCATGCGTAGTACCGCTTCAAGAACTTTCCATTTATTGGACCAATTCTCAAACCATCTTCGGCAACCAACTTGTACGCTCCATTTGTGTATGCTTCTTTGACGACATAAGGACCATCCCACTTTGAAGTAAATTTATTCCCCGTTTTGTGAGTGACGATGATGGGCCTCCTTACGGCAAGTACCAAATCTCCAACTTGAAACGATCTTGGCCGCACCTTCTTGTTAAACGCCCTAGAAAGACGAGCTTGGTAGCATTCAATACTTTGTTGTGCCTCTAATCTTTTCTCGTCAAGAGCTTCCAATTCTGCAAGACGCAAACGAGCGTTTTCTTCTTGAGTGAGTTCTTCTTGTATAGCTATCCTCAATGATGGAATTTGTTTTTCAAGAGGCAAGACTGCTTCCACACCGTACACCAAAGCATATGGAGTGGCTTGAGTAGGTGTTCTATACGTTGTTCTATAAGCCCATAAAGCTTCTCCCATCTTCTCGTGCCAATCACGTTTTGACTTGGCGATCACTTTCTTCAGCAAATTACATAAAGTCTTGTTGAAGGCCTCGGCGAGTCCATTGGCGGCTGCGTTGTACATTGAAGACTTTCTTTGCTTGAAGCCAAACTTTTCGCAAAGTTTATCTATCACACCGTTGCAGAATGGCTTTCCGTTGTCTGTGATTACATATCGAGGAACTCCGTAGCGGTAGATGATGTTGATGCGGATGAAATCGGCAACGTTCTCCTTCTTTACTTCTCGAAGAGGTATTGCTTCAGCCCATTTGGAAAAGTAGTCTGTTGCTGCCAAGATATAGAGATGTCCAGCGGAAGACTTTGTCATAGGTCCAACCACATCCAAACCCCAAGCATCAAAGGGCCATGAGGCAACAGTGGGGTGCAATGGCTCTGGCGGTTGATGAATAAAGTTTGCATGAAATTGACAAGGTTGGCATTTTTGGGCATACTCCATGCAGTCCTTCACCATAGATGGCCAATAATAGCCCATCCTTTTTATTCGGAAATGTAATTTGGGTCCTGACTGATGGGCGCCGCAAATTCCGGAATGAGCTTCTTCTATGGCTTGAACGGCTTCGTCATCACCTAAACATCTCAAGAAGACTCCATCAAATGAACGCCTGTAAAGTGTATCTTTATAATAGATGAAACGAGCCGCACGACGTCGAATATCAACCCTTTGACGTGGATCATTAGGCAACTTTTCGTACTTCAAGTAATCCACAAATGATTGACGCCAATCTTCTTTCTCGATTTCAAACACGTAAACCACTCGAGTTTCGTCTTCTTCAATTTCTCCATGTTCAAAGATTGGTGGTACGACCCACCTCTTGAAAATTGATATATGAGCTCTATCTTCGGGCATGGCTAAAGTAGAAGCAAGTTTTGCCAATGCATCCGCTTGTTTGTTATCCTTTCTAGGCACATGTTCTATCGTCACATCACCAAGGTATCCGATAAGTCTTTTAGCGTAATCCACATAAGGGAGTAAATCGAGCTTCTTTACTTCGTATGATCCGAGTATCTGATTGATCACCAACTTAGAGTCTCCATATACCTCCAAATTTAGTTGCTTTATATCAACTGCCATTTCTAGCCCAAGGATAAGAGCTTGATATTCAGCAACATTGTTGGAGCAATTTTGTGTTAAGGTAAAAGAGTGAGGCAACACTTCGCCGTTGGATGTGACGAATACTACTCCGGCGCCCGCTCCTTCTCTGTGAGAAGCTCCATCAAAATACATCTTCCAAGGAGGACTAGCTTCAATCACAAGAACATCTTCATCGGGTAGATCATCGGATAACTCCCACTCTGCAGGGATAGGGTGATCCGCCAAGAAATCGGCTAGAACTTGTCCTTTCACAGCCTTTTGTGGAATATATGTTATGTCAAACTGCTGCAATTGCAGGTACCACCTTGCAAGTCTGTCGGATAGGACGGGTTTTGACATGACGTACTTTAGAGGATTCATCCTTGAGATTAGGCGGACAACATGAGCTTGAAAATAATGCTTCAACTTTTGAATTGCAAAAATGAGCGCTAAGCATGTCTTTTCGATTGGCGAATAGTTCAACTCATTTGGTGTCATTGTTCTACTCAAGTAGTATAAGGCGCTCTCTTTTCCATCATCATTCTCCTGTGCTAGTAAAGCTCCGACAGATCGTTCTTGAGCAGCAATATAGAGTATTAACGACCGTCCGGGCACTGGTGCAATCAACACAGGGGGCTTCGTTAAATACGATTTTATGCTTTCGAAGGCACTAGTGCAAGCTTCATCCCATTCAAAGGGAACATCTTTCTTCATAAGTCGGCTGAATGGTTGACATCGACCTGCTAAGTTTGAAATGAACCTTCTTAGATATGCCAACTTTCCTTGCAAACTTTTGAGCTCATGAATGTTCCTAGGCTCGCGAATCTTTAAAATTGCATCAATCTTGGCTTGTTCGATTTCTATGCCTCGGTGACGAACTACGAATCCAAGAAACTTCCCCGAAGTAACACCAAATGCACATTTCAACGGATTCATCTTCAATTGGTACCTTCTCAAGCGCTCGAAGACTTTTCTCAAATTTTGGAGATGATCTTCCCTTCTTTTGGATTTAACCACCAAGTCATCCACATAACATTCAACATCTTTATGGAGCATGTCATCAAATATCTTCTGCATGGCTCTTTGGTATGTAGCACCGGCATTTTTCAAGCCAAACGGCATCACTTTATAGCAATAGATGCCCTTAGGTGTGCGAAAGGCTGTTAATTCTTCGTCTTTCGGCGCCATTCGTATTTGATTGTATCCGGACGACCCATCCATAAATGATAATGCTTCGTGGCCTGTAGTAGCATCGATCATTAGTTCGGCTATTGGCATTGGAAAGTCGTCCTTAGGGCATGCTTCGTTCAAATCTCTAAAGTCAACACACACACGAATTTGTCCATTCTTCTTTCTAACAGGGACGATACTTGAAATCCATGTTGGGTACTTGACTTCTCGAATGAAACCAACCTCAATAAGTTTGTTCACTTCAGCCTCAATTGCAGGGACTAATTCAGGCCTAAATCTACGTTGGCCTTGCTTCACAGGGCGAGCTCCTTTCTTCACGGAGAGATGATGTATTGCCACTTTTGGGTCCAATCCGGGCATTTCTTTATAAGACCATGCAAACACATCCTTGAACTCGTGCAACAATTCAATATAAGTCTCCTCTTCGTTGACGGCGAGTAAAGCGCTAATGTAGATTGGTCGAGGATTCTCTGTGTCTCCTAAATTTATTTCCTTTAACTCATCGATCGTGGCTTTGACTCCTTCTTCAAGCTCGGGTGGAGCAGTTTCAGCGTCTTCTTCCTCAATCACGTCTATCTCACTTAAAGTGATATGATACGATGATGCCACACTTTCTCTGTCATCTTCCTCGTCGTCTTGGATTTTTGTAAAGACGACAGTTCGCATTTTAGCCTTCAACTCTTTACCACATGATATGGTCAAATAAGTACGCCGTTTCATGCGAGATGGAATCGAACTTCGAATCCTTTGTGTTTTGGTGATTTTAGTATTAGAGACACCCAACTCTTGCTTGTTGCTTCTGTTATGCCCCCACTTTCTAAGTGGTCCAAGCCTATCAAAAATGGATGGCGTAAGTCTATCAAACCCTCGTTTGTCGCATTTCTTATGCCCCCACTCTCTAAGTGGTCCAAGTCTATCAAAGACGGATGGCGCGAGTCTATCGAAGACAGATGGTGTAAGCCTATCAAAGACGGATGTCCTTCTCACTTTTGCTCCACTTTCAAGAAAATCGTTTGTTGATGAGAATTCATCTTCGATTATGTAATTACTGGTAGCTCTATTGATAGCAATACGAATTGGTTTTTGTGGCACAAATCCAAGACCAACTCGAGGACTTTGAATAGCATGTCCTTTTTCTTTCAACATTATTTGAGTAGTATTGAGGCCACGCACCTTTTCGCCAACAACTTCGGCAGGAAGCCTTCCAAGCGTAGAATCTTCATGTGGGTTGAAACCAGCTTTCACTAAGAGTTTATAAGCATTTGGGCCAAAGCATTTTGTCATTTGGGACTCGGAGAATTCTTCGCATTCCTCTTGGGTTTCTTCTGTGGGATGAACAAATCCTTTAGGTGGTTGAGAAGTTGATCGCTTTCCGTCAATTGGTGTTAGGGGAAGCATCAAATCTTTCAAAGCCTCACACGCTAAAGGATCCTTGTCTTGATTATTTCTTCGCTTTGGTTCTTCGACTGGTAGAATTTCTTTGGCTTTCACCGTCTTCTCATCATCAAGATAGTACTTAGCATCGGCAAAGTGAGCTTCTGCCTCGGTGAACGGTTTATCATCGGCGAGTATCATTTTAACTACTCCGTCTCGACAATACTTGAAGCATTGGTGCCAAGAAGAAGGAACCACACTATTCTCATGTATCCAAGGTCGCCCGAGAAGCATGCGATATGAGGTTCTTGCATCAATGACATGGAACAGTGCGGTGGACAACATATCATCCATTAACAACTCTATCCTTATGATACCAAGGGCCCTTTGTCCTTCTTGATTAAATCCTTGGATCATCAAGCGACTAGTTTTGAGCTCCTCCGTGGAGATCCCCAATTCCTTTAAAGTGTGCAACGGCAAAATATTGACTGCAGAACCTCCATCGATTAAAATTCTATTCACCTTCTGCTCACGAGCGTAGCCGGCAACAAACAATGGCCTATTGTGTGGTTTGGAACCAAGAAGCAAATCTTCATCAGCGAAAGTCATTGTTGACATGCATTTACCAATCACGGTACAAACTTCATTTGAAGACGGAGTTGTTCCACTAGCAGCGATCTCCTTTTCAATTATCGCGTTGCATGAGATGTTGATACAATCATCATCTCCTTCGTGTACGTTTGTTGTCGTCATGTCAAGGGACTCAAAACTGCTGACGATAAAATTTGTATTGGCGCTGATCTCTTCAAGTGATATCTTTCCTTGGCGAGCTAGCAGCATAATTTTGTCTTTGAATACGAAGCAATCATGAATTGGGTGCCCGACCAACCGATGATACTTGCAGTATTTTGGGTCATCGGTTTTGTTAGCTTCTTCGGGGCGCTTCATTTCAGGCAACTCGATAAGTTTTAAACCTAGCAAATCGTCAAATATTCCAGCCACATCAGTGTCGAGGAATGGATATTCCCTTGCTTGCATTTCTTTTAGAGTAAGTCTTCTTCTTTCTTGTGAAAAATCTTGTTTTTCCTCATTGTTTCCGTTCACTTTTCCTTGAATTTTGATAGGGGTCGCATTCACTGCCAAAGATTCTTTGCTTGAGGTCTTAGAGAAAACTCTACCCCCTTTCCGAAAGTCCTGTTTTTCTTTCGACTGTCGAGGCTCTTGAACTGGTGGTCCCTCAACTCCACTAGCCATAATGCTCAACTCCATGTCGTGCGCTCTAGTGGCCAACTCTTCAAAACTCTTAGGTTGAATCCCTTGCAGGATATATCGGAGTCCCCATTGCATTCCTTGAATGCACATCTCGATAGCTGAAGCCTCTGACAATCGGTCCTTGCAATTCAGGCTTAAATTCCTCCAACGGTTAATATAGTCAATGACGGCCTCTTCTTTCCACTGGCGAGAGTTTGTAAGCTCGATCATGCTCACTGTTCTTCGGGTGCTGTAGAAGCGATTCAAAAATTCTTGTTCCATCTGACTCCAACTGTCAATTGAGTTCGGTTCTAGGTCTGTATACCAATCGAAAGCATTCCCTTTCAATGATCGGACGAATTGTTTAACGAGATAGTCTCCGAAAGTCCCGGCGTTGTTACAAGTTTCAACAAAATGTGCCACATGCTGTTTTGGGTTACCCTTGCCATCAAATTGCTGAAATT